AACACAACATGCTTCCCTTACACACAGAGAAACACACAATGCATCCATTACACACACACACACACAATGCAACCCTTACACACAAAGACAATGCATCCTTTGCACACATACGCAGAAACAGACAATGCAAACCCGTACACACACATGCAAACACACACACTTCTTTTCTTACATACACACAGAAACACAATGCATCTCTTACACTCAATGCACACACATACAGACACACACTTGCATCCCTTATGCATACAAAAACAGATTCACACAATGCATCCCTTACACACAACCAGAAACACATAATACATCCCTTATACACAAATACACACTGCTTCCACTACACACAAACACACTACATCACCTGGACAAACTGGTAACCCTATACACTACATACCATAAGCACACATATTAGATCCTCTACAATAACACATAACACATCCCCTACTCCACTCCCTGTGAGCGAACTCATGGGTGGGTGGAACTTATGAGTGGGCCTTATGAGCATACTCAGCGTCAGGCCCTGGGGCCCAGACCCCAAAAAATGGAGCTGCTTCCAATTCTCCCAGAACATTGAATTTTGTGACCACAGTTGCAAACAGCCTCCAGAGATCCTGTTCTACACCAGACCAGTGGGCCAAACTGCAGCCCATCATCATCCTCATCTGCTTGTAAGTAGGCAATCTAGTATATTATTAGTGACACTAATCTATAATGTACCTCACATTAAAGGGACACTATAGCTTAATGAAGTGGTTCTGGTGTCTATAGCTGGTCCCTGCAGGCTTTTTAATGTAAACACACACTGTGTGCAGCACTGGCGCTAGTTCATATGGGTGGGGCATTGTGATGTCACATGGGGGGGCAGCAAATTTTTATTTTGTCTAGGGCGGCAAAAATCCTTGCACCGGCTCTGATCCTGGGCAGGTGCACCAGTCTACTGGTGACCCACAGGAGGGGAGTGCACTGATTGCACTGCACTCTCCTCCTGCCCAGCCCCATCTTTACTGCAGTGCAAGTGCCCTCTGCCCCTAATTTACAGTGGCTCACACTCACAACAAGCAGTGCCTGGAGCCTTGAAGGAGCGGGTATGGCAAAGAGCCACTGATTAGCATAACATCAATATCCGTTATAAAACCAGGAAAAGGTGGGCATGGATGGTGAACTGATTTGGTGGTGCAATGGGCCACTTGACTGGGGAGAGACAAT